CTGTTCCAGCAGACATGAAAACCTTTCTAGAACGGTAATTTCCAGTCGATCAATCCATTTGTCAATTAGGAAAAACGTTCAACTTATTGAAAAATAGGTGGGCAACTGGAAATTATTGGTTTTGGAACGGTTCTCATGTCTGTTGGAACAGAGCTAATGGTTAACGTTTGGTTATATTTGGATCATAGCCTTATATAGGTTATGTTTCGATATTAACTCTGTCAGTACTGAATTTACTGGACGCCGTTCCGATATTATTTTCAGTAGGTACACTGGATTCAGTAGATTCAGAACTGAATGACCACAAGAGTACCCTGTTGAAATTGGAACGGCAAATGACAGTAAAATCAGCACAGTAAATCCAGTACTGGCAGTTGATATCAGAACATGGTGGTACTTTGCTTAGAAGAAGAAGAAGATGAAGAAAATCAGAAATCTTTAATGAAGAACAGCGTAAAACGCAGATTTTCGGTACATGCTGCTTGGAAAAGAATATCTGCAGGAGAGTTTTCCACACTTTACAGTAGAGTGTTTTCACAGCTATCAGACCAATACCCACCTCTACCACGTAAAAACTTCCCTCCAGCACAGCCATCATACCACTAAAGTTCGCCTCACGAGTCTAGCACTATGGAAAGAATGCGGATAAAAAATTGCAATATTACCTATTTGACTTCCAATAAGAAATACCTTAATATTTATTTATATTATACACCTACATTTATAAGGAAAAAGTAATATTCAAAAACGTTGCACGCTCGCCTATGACAGGCAGCATAAAGCTCGAAATGAATGGCGTTATGTCCCCTTGCTCTTCAAACGTCGTAGTGCTAGACTCGTAAGGCGGACTTTACCCACCTCCACTGTACCCCCTTCCGTGAAGCTCCTACCCTGAGGAGGCACTTTTTACCCACCTGCACTGTAAACCCTCTTCCGTAAAGCCCTCCATTAATCTATTTTCAAAAGGCTCTTACCCTGAGATGGCACTTTATTATATCCCTTCACTTTCTTGAAAACTAAAGAATATTTAACCAATTCTTCCATTTGTATTCGAATTCGTCAATTTTGGGGTTGGCCCAGGTCAAATCCTCAAAATTTCAGATCAAAAGCGCCGCCGATCTAGAGATTTTCCCACGGTATCGAAAAACTTCCCAGGCTCAAGTGCCCCCGGCTATCAGACCAATACCCACCTCTACTACGTAAGTGGTCCACCAGATGCACAAGCAAAATGTTATTATTGCAATAAAATTAATCTCATGGAGTTTAGAACACTATTGACGAATACAAATGCAGGAGTTGTTGAAATATTCTTTAGTTTTCAAGAAAGTGAACGGATATGGAAAGAGGTACCTCTTCAGAGTAGAAGTTTTCTGACGTAGTGGAGGTGGGTATTGCTCTGATAGCTGTGAGGTGGGTATTGGTCATAAACAGGTGCATTAATTTTATTGCAATAATAAATATTTTGCTTGTGAATCTGCTAGTCTGATAGCTGGGGGCACTTGAGCCTAGGAAGTTTTTCGATACCGTGGGAAAATCTCTAAATCGGCGGCGCCTTTTGAAAATAAATTAATGGTGGGCTATGATGGCTATGCTGGAGGGGGGCTTTTACGTGGTAGAAGTGGGTATTGTTCTGATAGCTGTGAAAACACTCTACTCTTTACCCTTATAGCCGTCCTTTTTTTCCAATTTTAGCAGACACCGCAAAAAACTTACGCAAGCACCAAGCAACACTAGTTCCCGCAGCTGGAAAACGAATATGGCAAGGTGTGAACTACGTTGTTTGAAATGTATTACCATTCCCTTCTTAGACACTCGTCCGAATGTAAATTAAAGAATGCTGGTAAACGTTTTTGGGCGTGGCTTCTGGAGAAGTTTTTTCGCCACCGGCGGGCTGTTCACCCCCCCTCAAAAACGCCGGTGCATGAACATCAGCACCCACGAGGTTTTCTGAAACTCGGTGCCGTTGACAACAAACGTCTCAGCGTGTGGAGGCTAGCTAAGAACAAGTCGATTGCTGCGAAGTGGTCATTGTAGTTGCTCATCATGCGGTCAACAAATGCACTCTAGTCATAATTTGTTCGATGAGTGGCCACAAAAAAGAGCTGGGTCTGCCTGGTTTGACGAATTGGCACACGAAAACTGATTTCTGAAAGCAGAGGAGGTTATTATCCCCCGGACCAGCTTATAAAGAACCAGTAGCAGCTGATCACGCTGTCTTTGTTTCAATGATTTCAGGCCACACAGGAGGAGCCTAATGCTGTGGTCGACGATTTCATAGGGAAAGTGATGTTTGTACAGGAAGTATTTAGCAAATTTTGCCTAAAATCTCTCAATCCGTTGTTTGTGACAGTTGTAAACCACACCACAATATTTTCAATGTGGTTCTCAAAAATTAAATTACTGTCAAAGAGCACTCCCAAATCATTGTAAACGCCAATATGTTCAATTATCTGGTTTTCCATGGTGTGGTAAAAAGGCCGGACAGTCCGGTTCTTGAAAAATTGCATTGACTTACACTTCTTGACGTTCAATTTCAAAAAAATTATTCCTGCACCATCCAACAAATCCGCTTGAAGGTTGACATGTGGACCCGTTTTCGAAAAAAAATTGAGGTCATCGACGTACAAAAGAAACCGAGCAATGTGGAAGCAGCCCCTAGGAAACACCGGAGAGGACTTCAATTTCCCGGGATGCTGCCCCACTTGTACAATACTGCCTGCGCTCGCTGAGGTACGACTCAATCCAGCACCTCATAGATGCCCATCTTGAAGAGCTTCATAAGGCGCAGCTGATGACAGACCCTATCGGAAGCCTTTGATATATCGGTGAAAATGGCGTAACTCTGTGACCAGCTTCCAGTGAATGGACCAGATAGTTGTGATAAACGGCCAGGCTTGTTGCTGTAGATTGAAGATCGACCCTGGTAGAACCATGTTGCTCGTCCATTATGCGGTGCTTATATATTACGAAAATCTTCTCTGAAATGATGGACTCTAGTAGTTTTAGGATAGCTGATAATAGGGAAATTCCTCTGTAGTTGCGAACGTCTTTCGTGTTGCTAGATTTGAAAATTGAAAAAATACTTGATTTTTACAAGCAGCCTGGAAAGTAACTCTGATTGAAGATCTTTGAAATAATTTGCGCAGAGGTTTTGACATGGAACGGTGACATTTTTGAAGCAGCAGGGGGGGAATGCCATCAGGACCTGGACCCTTGGAGCTATCCAATTCCTTTAGCTTTGATTCGATATTATTTTCCAAGAAATCATGGGAGGATAGCGTAGAGGCAAAGGGTATGTTGAAATCTTCCTGGATTGGCGCTCCTTTATAGTCTGTGTAGCAAGATTGAAAGTGGGCGGCAAAAGCATCGGAAAGAAAACTTGCCCATTATGTTGTAGCGTAGCTGGAATTCCCGAGTCCTTTTTTAAGGAGTTAACGTAGGACCAAAAGTGCTTGATATTTATACATAGTATTATTTATACATGCTCGATATAAAAAATTGCATAGCAAAGATCTATTTGATATTTCAATTTTCTGCGCAGGTTTGAATAAATCGTATAATCATTAAGATTCCTGGAGTATTATTTATATTTTTTGTAGTACTTGTTTTTGGGACTAATAAGTTTTTTTAGTGGAGCACTATACCACTTCTGAAACATATTATCTGCGACGGCTCGTTTAGGCACAAATCTATCAATGCGATAGAAATTTTCCACTATCTCATCAAGGTCCGAAGGTTCGTCGATGAACGACGAATCCATATTGGAATAATTGAGAGCGTTGTAGTCAGCTGTATGAAAATTGAATGCCTCACTATTTCCGTCACACCGGTGTCAAAGGTAAGCTCGAGAGCTGGATGGTAAGGATCGCACTTGACCAAAGGATGGTTGCTTTGTTCAACTGAGTAAGTTTCAATATTGTCAATTAGTATGTAGTCCAAGATCCTGCCCAAAGAATTTTTAACATGATTGTCCTGTTGCAACTCCAAGTAATACATTGCCCCAATGGAAGTTTCTTCAGCTAAGGTTCTCGATTGTGCTGGGACCAGGAAGGAACTTTCAAAAACGCTGCTCTGTGATACCTGTTTCCAAGTACCTGAACCTTGTCTATGAAATCCTGGTATGTTTCGACAGCAGATTTTGGGGCAATGTAGACGCAATCAACCACAACATCATATCCACGGAGAGCAATGTGCACCCAAACATTTTCGAAGAGGGCAAGTGCAGGTGAATCAATTGCGGATGCATTGTGATTTGAAGATACCGCAACAAAGAATTCCCCACTACGCCGGAGACCAAGCATATCATAGTCTCGGTTACGACGAAACACTAACTACGTTTATGTGAAGATGTCGTGCCCAGAAAATAAATTGTGGTATTTGTGATCAAAATATACCTAAAACCAAGTCAAAATTACCGTGTAGAACGTGCAAACGATGCTGCCACCCCGACTGCGTAGGGGTAGATGGAGAAGAGCTACGAAATATCGGAAGGAGCAGGGTATGGGCCTGTGGAAAATGTAAGAAGCATTCCCGAAGTGTGTTAGGAAAAGTCAAGGGCAAGGTCTCCCTCAAAACAATCTTGATCGAACGTTATTTCGAACGTACCCACTGAAAATCAGCTGTTTCAAGACAACAAACACATTTTCGTGGAAATACAAAACATGCGAAAAGATTTTAGAGATTTTCAGGAATCTTTGAGCTTCCTGAATCAGTTACTATAGTCCGTTGCATGGTTCTTGAGCTACGACTACTGAATAGACAGAGGAAACAATGGGCTATTGCTGCGTTGTCATATCAATAATATTTATTATTACATGAAAATGAAGGAAATTTTATTGCAATTTTCATGTATTAATAAATATTATCTATATGACAACGCAGCAATAGCCCATTGTCCCCTCTGTCTATTCAATAGCCGTAGCTCAAGAACCATGGAACGGACTATAGAGGCAGAACGAGAGAAGAACGAGGGAATGATGGCAGAAATAAACATTATAAAGGCTGAAAACAAATTTTTGAGACAAGAATTACAATATGCACAAAAGTTTGTAGAACGTCAAGAGGTCCAGCAAATACAAAATATCGTAGTTATCTACGGGTTATGTAGCGATACAGACGAAGAAGAAACAGCGAAAAACAAGGCCATGAAGGTTCTTACGTTTGTTGATAATAACTTAACGCCCAGAGAGATAAAAAGTGTCAAGCTAATCAAATCAAAGGAAAACCGAGCAGCTGTGCAAGTTTCTTTTGAGGATACAAAAAGGAAGAGCGATATATTGAGATGCAGGTACCAGAAAGGAAAAATCAGCAGAGAAATGTGCAATATCCCAAATGTAAGGGACATTTATATCAATGAGGAGATGACGGCAAAAACATACAAACTGTTGAAGGAATCTTATAAACTCAAAGGGTATGGCTACAAATATGTTTGGCAAAGGGGAGGACTGGTTTATGTAAGGCTGACGGAAAATGGTAACGCTGTTAAAATAAATAGTATCGATCTGATTGCTGAGATGATAGAAAATTCAAGGTGAACCTTAGCAAACGAAATAAAATAAATCATTCCAGTTGTTAAAAATGGCACAAAATACTATTTCGGACGATTTCCTAAACTGTTATTATAATTATTGTGATAAAAGCTCTTTAATAAATTACCCTCTAAACGATCTAAATATTATTCACGTCAATATATGTAGTATCTCGAAAAACTTTGACAACTTACTAGCATATCTTAGCACATTTCAAAGCAGCTTTGATATCAGTGGTGTCTCAGAAACACAACGAATCTCAAGTCTAGATAACTTTCAAATTCCAGGCTATGATGCTTTTTTTAACGAAAGTGCAATTAATAAGTGTGATGGCTTTTTATTTTATGTAAAACGTGACCTGGTGCGAGACTGCTCAATTATAAATATAGGGTTAACTAAATTTGTAAGGATAGTTTTAAAGGTGGTGTGACTCTAAAAAACGACTTAAGAATACTTAAATCAAGAAAAAAAATCTAAGATCTCTCGTGAAACCCGCAGTCCTATATTCGAAATAGTCTCCGAGAAAATTCCTTGTGAAGATAAATTATGCAGGAGTTTGTGATGTCACAACCGCCCAAATCGCAGTATTCTGTTCGTTCAGTCGTCAGTATACCGTACGCTATACTTTGAGTGGTTGTAACTCGCTCTAGGAGATAATTTTCTTCTGTTTTGGAAAATTCTGCATGTGTAACACATTGCGTGCCACGTCGCTCATATATGAGAGACACTAACATTTCGCCGGAGGCTCTGTCTCTCATTTCTGAGAGACACACATCTCTCACTTTCTGGCTATGTATATCAAATATGATACCCGCTACCGTGTATTTTAAATGGAGAATCCGAAGTTTGGCCTCTGGGGAAACTTAAATGAGTCATGGTTTGAGCAAAATTGGAAAAATAAATTTATCACAACAAACGTTTGAAAAATATTTATTTTTCGTAATAAAAACATAAAACTTACGGCCAGTTCCATAAATATGACGTTGAGTCGGCTTTAAGAAAAGAACACTTTTCGTTAAAGTTTACTTCAAGCAGTCTTTGAAGTCAGTTGGGTTCCATAAAACATTCTAAATCGTCTGTTACAAAAAGGAGTAATTATCGGTTTTCCCGATTTGGCAACATTGAAATTGAAGAGATGAAGTTGGTTTTGACGTGTGTTGACAAAAATTGTAACCATTTCAAAAATGATTGACATAAATGCAGAGAACAAAATGAAAGAAAGAAGAGTGCCCCTTCTTCAAAGAAGGATCAAATTTGTTTATTGGAAGCTATTAATTGAGAGCGCAAATTGAAAATAAAGAAACAAATAAATTAACAAATGCAGACAAGGTTTGTAGTAGTTTCATTTTGGTTTTATCCTTACCAGATGGATCTCGCAAGAGAAAGGGCCTCAACACCATATCATGGACCAGAGCCCTATTGTGGCTAAATGAAAAGCCACATCATGGAAGAACTCAACAAATGAGAAAAAGACCGTCATCAGATTGGAGGCACACTCCGGGAGAGCACCTGCTCTGCGAATGTCCAGTCCAATTCTGCAAGAGGCTCAAATTCCTCGAGGAAACAACACTGTCATCAGAAGAAGTAGACAAACTGACACCCAGAAAAATGGTTTCTTTCGGCAGAAGTCTACGCTTCCTGGGAACATTTTAAGATGTAGAGTCACGTACAAAATATCTGCGAAAGTAGCAGTGCTGAGCGGCTGGAAAGCCGAAACGACTCCCACCATAATCTACAAATCCTGCATGAAATATTCTAAGGAGAAGGCTTGGGAACGCGTTTTAGCTTACAATGCTAGTGGAACGGTTGTAAGAAATATGGATCAATTGAAGCAGAAAGACAATTTATAAAAAAAGGAAGCTTGTCTGTGTTTTTTCATCCAGTAGGGCTCCGACAGTCGGCTTTGCTAACCTGAATAGCTCAAAAAATTCTATGTCGTCATATTTTTTAAAACAATCCACTCTCATCCTGTATCGCTTAATATAATTTCATATCCTCTTCATCTGGATGGGTCCAAATTTGCCATTTTGATTTCGACATGAGATAACCAAAACACAGAACCTGTAATTTGGCACTTTATAGGTTAAATTGCCCTATAAAGTACTCTTTTCAACGCATAATTGGCCAAACTTGGCACTTTAAGGTTAACGTCACTTTTTCGTAATGGCTCCTTTTAAAACTGTTTATGGAACACATTTTAGAAGTTAAAGGTACTTTTTAAGAATAAAGTAGACTTTATTACGATTATGGAACTGGCCGTTATTCTTAAATAACGTAAAATATCACATAAATAATAAAACAAAATTTTTTCTGCGATAACTTATTCTAAAAACAAAATAAAAATGTATTTCTTGACTGCAAGAAGAAAAAATAAACTGAAAAAAAAAAACAAAAATTAATGTTTTTCATTGAAACATGACGCACATATTTGCGGTTGTCCGGGGCACTTGTCGCAATAATTGTGTGTCAATTTAGCTTTGGATTTTGCAACTATGCGTCCTGATTCTTTCTGAATTTTTGCATAACAAACCGAACACCTGCGGCGAACTTTTTTTCCATTTTCCTCCATTCTTACAAGTAAATGATGATATTCCTTCTGTTTTTCTGGCAAATGCTCTTTTTCTTGATCTTTGACGTCAAGTAGCTCTGCTGCTAAAATTTCACGAAAAGCACGGATTTGGATTCTATTCTTGGTGACCTGTTTGTACAGGACCCAAGCATTTACTGCCGCTATTCCCAGAAGCAATTCAATTCCCAACTTCCTATACCATTTCACACCCTTGCGAAGCGTAGTGGCATAGGATGCCATCTGGTCAGACAAGTCGATTCCAGCTTTGCCTTTATTGTATGCCAGAATTGCAACTGGCTTCTCTTCTGCTTTTCGAATTTTTCTTTTTCTTTTCACTGGGACTGCCCTCTGTATGTCATTGGGAGCGTCTGGGGGATCTTGGGAATTTTAAGCTTCAGACTCCATCTGGTTCTCCAATGGATATGGCAAATCGCTACTTGTTGAAGCATGATCATTGGTAGTACTGGAGGTACTATCTATGGCTTCAGGAGGGTCCCGAGCATCGTTAGGTTCCTGGATCTCAATAGGGGGTTGATCTGCAACAATCCTAGGGTGAACTGGCACCATAATTGGGGCATGGTTTGTTGAGAGCAGTCTAACGTCGCGCGTGTCTCTCCATTTCAAGACTAATATTCCGTTTTCGTCTTCGCGGGACACCATATCTCCCCTTTTTATCTTAGCTTGAAGAAAATCTTCCGGAATTTGTTTCTTATTGGCTCTCAGGGTTCCAACAACATGTGTTAGCTTTTCGAGCATTGTTTTAGCTAATTGATAACTCGTGTAAAAATTATCAATGTATAGAGTTCGTCCTTGGTAGAGAAGTTTCTCGCACAACCTCAAACAAACATTTTCTGCTAGTCCAACTTCGCGTTCCCCAGTCGCTGACTTTCCACTGTATACTTCAAGTGACCAAGTGTAACCATCTACTGAACATAATTTGAACAATTTGATACCATACTTATGGGCCTTGTTTGGTATATACTGCCTAAAAATTAGGCGGCCCCTCCATGGTACCAAAGTTTCGTCTATAACAATGTCTTCGCCAGGATAAAACAACGACTGAAACTTATTTTGGAGGATATCGATAAGAGGTTGAATTTTTCCTAGACGTTCGCCCCTTTGAATTGTCTCGTTATTGTTGAAATGTAGAAGACTAAGCAGCAACTGATATTTGTTTCGAGATATAGTTTTTTTCGGAATATCTAGACGATAAATACCCTTGGTCGCCCAATAATCAGGTAATGCACCTAGTCGAACCAATCCCATCCAAAGTGTCAATCCCAAGAACTTTTTGATTTCCTCTGGATTAGTCGATTTTCATTTTTTTTATGCGGGAATATTTTTTTGCTTCCTTCGATGCTATGGTTTGTTCAGCGAATCTGTTCGTTTCAGTGACAATAAGGTTGATGAGCTCATCATCGACGAGATGACAAAATGCCTGAAGCGGTGTCAGTTCGGAGGATAAATCTTGTTGGAGACCAGTAAGGCCCGTAAACTGGAAGTTCTTGTGCCTTCCAACATATTCGGTCCAATCAATGGAAGTTGGCATTACGTTTTCTCCTTCATTTTGGTCATAACCTTCAGTCCGTGCCTCTTCCACTCGCTCTTCCAAGACCAAATCTTGAAGAATCTCTTCGATATCTGGGGCTTCTCCATTATCCTCTTCATCAGATGACTCAAATCGATATTGTGGAGCTGTGGTGTCAGGGTCATATATTCCGGATCCTGGACAGAATCATCGGAATCAAAGTCGAACTGATCATCACTCTCGTTATCAGTATCGATTCGGAATAATTCGTCTTCTAATTCGGGCTGCGTCAATCCTCGACGACGTTTAGACTTTGTTGCTAATAGAATCCTCTCAGTTTTCAATCCTCAAACCTGCAAGATAAAAGAAAACCCTAAAAAACTTGCGTCGATCATATTTGAGAGACATGGCCCCCTGCATAAATATTACAATTTTTTTTGCTCCTTGGCCACGTCGCTCATATATGAGAGACACAAAAAAAGTGAAAAAAAATAACTAAAAACTACAAAAAAAAAACAAAAAATTATCAAAAAAGCGTGTAAATACATACAAATATTGCAAAAATGTGGTGTGGCCCCTAGGGCTATTTTCCCGATAACCGCGTGGCACGCAATGTGTTAATACTGTCCCTGATAATCCAGTGTGACGTCACAAACGCCTAATTGTAGCTTTAAACCGCGCTAACTCGAAAACACGATGGTCCGTTTTCGAGTTGTTGTTACCAAGACCAAGACTAGCGAACGTATATCATATGAGTTAGACGCAGATATATAGAAAAAACGAGTTGCTTCCGTGCGGATTTTCCCATTATTTTGGTCAAGTGAATGACGGGTTTAGAGGGAAAGGCGAGTCTGGCTCACCCCTCTGATGCATCCCCACTCTGACCCCCTCGAGCAGCTCACCTC